AGGGATCCTCCTCGTCCATGTCATCGTAGTCCCGCTCCCTGCGGGGGGGACAAGGCGCTGATACCCGTGCCGTGGGTGCCAAAGGTGAGGGCGGGGGGCCGGGGCAGGGGTCTCGGGGCACACGCACCGCCCTGCCAGCTGCTTCCAGGCGCGGGGGGCAGCGCAGATCACGGTGGAGAAGGCGGCGGCCGCCAGCAGGGAGAAGAGCCCGAGGTAGAGCAGCCCCTCCACGCCGTCGTAGCAGATCCCAATGAGGCCATCCAGGTAATCCTGGTGGGACACGGGCAGGGAAGGGCTGGTGGCACCGCAGGGGGACCCCAGAGTTGGTCCCCAGCACCCCCCACCCCTCACCTTGTGCAGCCCCCGGCAGTCCAGCAGGGCTGTGAGCTGGTGCAGGCTGGTCTCGGAGGAGTTGAGGAGCTGCTGGACTCCCAGTAGGTCTTTCTGTGGGAAAAGGGGGGTCAGGCAGCTCCTGGGGAGCAGAAGGAGGGATGGGGATGCCCTGCTCCCCACTCCTGTACCTCAGCTGTTGGGAAGACGGGCAGTGCATACTGGATGAGCCCTTGGATCTGGATCTGCATGGTGGTCAGCGAGCGCTGGAACACGGTGAGAGCCTGCAGGGGGGAGTGGGGAGCAGTCACAGACCCCCCCCAGCCCTAGGCAGCACCAAAGGGGGTGCCCACCCTCCCTGTACCTGCTGGAAGGGGCTGCTCAGGCTCTGGTCACAGTACAGGTAATAATGAACCACCTCTGCAGAGAGAATGGGAACATCAGATGGCAGGAGCATCCCGGGGCACAGGGAGCCGTGGGGAGGACAGTGGCAGTGGGGGGAACAGGGCCTCCAGGTGGGTTTTGGGGTCCTGCCTGTGCTCCTCTCCAGGTCCCAGCCAGCTCTCACCTGCGCTGATCTCATCATCTGTTTGGTTTATTATGAACTTGTCCGGGGCCACACAGAAGTCACTGGTGCCCTGTGGGGGACAGGGGGACATCACTGATGCCCACAGTGCTTGGCACAGCCCCAATCAACCCTTCCCTCCCCTCCTGCCCCACTCACCACCGCAGCCGCCGTGTCCACGGCCATGGAGGCCCAGCTGAGGACCAGCATGAGCAGCCCACAGCACAGCATCCTGCAGGGAGAGCGGGGAGCACGAGTGGGGAGCATGGCCGGGGGGTCCCCATGAGCCCCCCCAAGGGTACTCACATGACCAGGAGGCAGCGGGAGTGCTTGGCCAGCCCCAGACAGGCCAGCAGGCAGACGGTGAGGACGAGGATGAAGAAGAGCAGGTAAGCCAACCACCTGGGTGCAGAGGAAGGCTCTGTCACACACGGCCACCTCCCCAGCCCAGCCAGGACACGCCCTGGAATGCTGGAGCTCACCGGTAATACTCGACATAGGCGACCTGTCCCGACAGCTCGGTGAGCTCAGCACTGACACCCCGCCAGGCTGGCAGCCCCTGGAGCTGCAGGACAATGCTGCCAGCCAGCTGCTGGGTGAACTTGAGGGTCTGCACGTAATCCCCCCGCGAGGCCAGGAGCTCGTTCAGCCGTGCCAGGTGCTGCTCCAGCCCTCCCTCCATTTGCAGCGTGGTGCTGGCAACCTGCGGCCACAGGGATGGGATGGTCAGTCCCTGGGAATGGTCAGTCCCTGGGAATGGTCAATCCCCGGGAATGGTCAGTTCTGGGGTGGTCAGTCCCTGGGAATGGTCAGTTCTGGGGTGGTCAGTCCCTGGGAATGGTCAGTCCCTGGGAATGGTCAGTTCTGGGGTGGTCAGTCCCTGGGAATGGTCAGCACCCACCAGCCCGGCAGAGCCATGTGCCCCATCCCTGGAATGCTCTTTCTCCAGGAGAGCAGCTCCACCCCAACCCAAGCTGTGCCCATCCTTCAGGACAGCCCTGCCATGGCCCCGACCCGGCCCCGCTGGGCCACAAAGGTCCCATTCTGTGGGGTGACGTCACCCTCCCGCGCTGGGCACAGCACAGCCACCCCGGGGGCTCGTGTCCCTCCCTGGTGCCTGAACCAAATCCAGAGCAGGGGATTGATGCACCCTGGGGGCCCTACCAGGGAGTCGATGCCAGTGAGGGTCTGGTTGGCGTGGTCCAGGGCATAGAGCAGCTGGAAAACCCCATCGTTGGTCTCGCTGTTCCCATAGAAGCCGACACCGACGGCCGCGCTGTGGGCAGAGAGGGGACCCTGATGAGAGGGGAGGGACACGCTCACCCCGTGACACCAGGGGACACTCCCTGGAACATCCTGCTTTTGGGGGACAGCCCACCCAGGGCAGGGCAGAGACAAAGCGTGGGACAGGGACAGCACCGTGATGGGAACCTGCTCCTGCTGGTGCCAGGGGTCTGGGGACAGCCAGAGCTGCTCTGTGGGCATGGTGGGTTGGAAGCTCCTCCTGCCAAACCCTGAGAGATTGAGGGCGGAGGGGCAGGGCCAAGCAGATTAGGGGAATCTGCTGGAAGCGCCGTGGTCCCGATTAAACCTTCGGCTCCAGGCTCTGTGGCGAGCTCCCTGCAGCTGCTGCCGAGCTCCCCACGGAGCTGGGATGGAGCTCAGGGCTGGCTCCGAGGACAGAGGTGCCCATGGCCATGTCCTGTGGGCACGTGCCCACATGGGGCCGGTGCACAGGGTGCTCGCCAAACCTCGGTAAAAACAACAGACACCGGCCTGCTAATAGCCACCAATAGCCCTCGGATGGCCACCAACAGGCTGCCGGGGGAGTTCAAAGCCCCCAGGAGCTGCAGAGTGGCCCCCTGCCCCGGTGGGGGGAGCTCTCTGAGCTCATTAGTGCCGTTTCCCTGTCTCCCTGTTTCCCTGCTCCCAGGCAGCCATCTCGCTCCGCCCCGCCAAAGCAGCCCCTTTGTCTGGAGCCAGGGTCGTGGCCAGGCAGCCAAAGGGGCCCATGGCCCATCCTGCTTCCCCCCAGGCCAGCAATGCCAGGGGACACTCAGGATGGCTGCCCTGGGGGTCCTCCCAGCCACGGCTGCCCCGAACCGAGGTGGGCTTGGAAACCCGCCAGAGCAGTGCAGGGTGAAGAAGCGTCCCCTTGTCTAATTGTTGTGGTCGCAATTAAGGTCGGGCACAAGGGACCTGCCAGCTGGGTCACGCTGCTGCCTGCCATCTGCTCTGGGCTGGGATTAGTGACCAGCCACGCTCCCGCCCGGGATTAGCCGGGAAGGCGGCACAGCCGTGACGGGGACGGGGATGGGGCTGGCCCGCAGCTGGTCCCTGGGGCTGCCCCAGCAGCTGCACGGGAGGAGGCAGGGATGGAGCACATTTAATTGCACAGATCTAATTAAAGCGACTGGCGATTGGAGCGCAGAGTCCCCTCGGTGACAGGGGGACAGCACCAGCTCCCTGTCCCCGTCCTCACCAGCAGATGAGCCCGGCAGTGACGGCCATCCAGGTGACACAACACGAGTGGGGCCGCTTGGTCTCGGGGTCCTGGTCCCTCTTGCAGCAGCACAGGCAGATCAGGTACACGATGAGGAAGAGGAGGTTGAGGCCGAGGCACACGGCGGCCACCAAGCCCAGGAAAAGCAGCGACTGTAAGGAGAGAGGGGACAGTCAGCAGCCTGTGACCCGCTGCTGTGCCCGGGATGAGGCCGCGTTCAGAGCCCCACGGGACTGTCACGTGGGGAAGAGGAAGTGTCCCTGTCCCCATCCCTGTCCCCATCCCTGTCCCCATTCCCACGCAGGGCCCCCAAACCGCGCTGGCCGAGCCGGGGGTGCAGCCGCCTCTTGCCGGGACGTTGGGGCACCGGAACCGCGGCGCTGTCCCCCATCCCCACTTAGGGATCACGGCGGGCTGAGCCCCGGGATAGCGGGGCGGATCCGGGAGCGCGGGGCAGGGGCTCGGGAGAACCAAAGGAAGCGGTGAGGCCGGGAGGGGAGCGGCGGGGCCGGGGGTGCCGGTGCCGGCTGGCCCGAAGGGGGGGCCGGGCGATGAAAGGCGCTTTGTGCGCCGTGAGATCAGAGCTGGCTCCGGGCGCTGCCGGGGAGCGGCGCGGGGAGCGCGGGGCGAGCGGGACCCAGCGCGGGGAGAGCCCGGGGGGGAGCGCGGGGGTCCCGGGCCGGTACCTGCTGGTAGTCGGGGTCCTGCGGGCGGAAGGTGCTGGGCACGGGCTGTAGGTGCGGGCCGCGGTGCGGGAGCCCGTGCAGCCAGGCCGCCCACCAGGGCGCCAGGTAATCGGCACGGGCGGGCCCCATGGCGGGCCGGGGTCGCCGCGCTGCCGGGCGGGGGGCGGCGGTGCCGCCACGCCGCGGGCTCTGCCCGCCCGCCCCGGACACGCCCCGGGACCAACCCACCGGTACCGGCCCCCGGCCCGCCCCGCGCTCCGCCCCCGGCAGCGCCCGCCGTGATGGGGCCGCGGAGCCGCTCAAGAGCGCAGCGCTGCCCGCGGGGATGGAGCACGGGGTCACCGCCGGCACCGGGACAGCGCACCCCAAACGTCTGCTATAGGGGCATTGTACCCCAAATCTCCTGCTAGAGGGACACCGCACCCCAAACCTCCTGCTACATTGGCACTGCACCCCAAACCTCCTTCTACAGGGGCACCGCACCCCAAATTTCCTGCTGTAAGGGCACTGCACTGCTCCCCAAATCTCCTACTAGAGGGGCACTGCTCTGCACCCCAAACTTCTTGCTATAGGGGGACTGCTCTGCATCCCAAATCTCCTGCTACAGGGGCACCGCACCCCAGATTTCTTGCTTTAGGGGCACTGCTCCCCCAATCTCCTGCTGTAGGGACACCACTCCCTTCATCCCCTGCTATCAAGGACACCGTGTTAAGGACACGCTGGTGGCCCTGGGTGCCAGCCCCAGGTCCTGTCCCCAGCTGTCACCCCAGGGCCACCCACAAGCAATGGGCGAGCTCCAGGTCTGGTAACTCCCTGGTGCCTGCAGACACCAGCTCCAGCCCCAGGACCCCCAAAATGGCTGAGACCCTTGGAGTGGTCCCAGCGCCAGGAACAGCAAGTTGTGAAACATCAAACGTGACACCAGGAACGGTTTTTTATTTATTTTAACAAACACAGAGAATCCAACAGGTACCCAGCTGATCCCAGCTCATTTCAGCTCCTTCACGGCCAGACCTGGGGAGGAGAGAGAGAACATGGACTGGGGGGCTCAGGCATGGAAGGGGTGTCTGGAACACCATGCACTGACCCAGGCACAGCACTGGTGGTGACACCACCTCCAGGGACACTGGGAACTCTGCAGAGATCCTTCCAAAGGGAAGGGGCTCTCGCAGCCCCCCTCAATCCCAAACAATGAGATTCCCTGGATACCTGGGGGCAGGGACTGCTTCAGCTTCTCAGCCTTCTCCTTGTCAGTGATGACCAAGGTGTAGAGGTATCGGCTGCAGCGCACCTTGAACTTCACATTGTCCTTGTTCTTCTTGATCTTGACAGCTGTAAGGTGGAGGGGACAGTAGGGACACCCCAATGTCATCCCTGGGAAACCCAACCCACTCTCTTCCCCATACAGAGCACTCCAGCTCCATCCAGAGTGAGGATCAGGAGGAAAAAGCTCCCTGAGGGCTCTCTCAGTGCTCAACTTTCCCTTCTCGCCCACACCAAAACATTTCCGAGGGATCCTGTGACAGCCAGATCCAAACAAGCAGGAGAAGAAGGAAAACTCTTCCCATGTTGTTGAACAGTGAGACAAGGCAGCGCTTTGTCTCAATTATCCTCATTTTGTGGTGACAACAAAAATCTCCCGTTAAGGATGATGAATCATGTGGAGACAGAACTCCCAACATTCAACACAGCATCCCACAGAGCAGGGAGAGATTTGGGAATTGCTTCCAGGGTGAGCAGCAGTGGGAATGCACAGCTGGGAACATCATTCTCCAGGAGACCCCACCCCAATCCCACTGCCCACAGGAGTGACTTTGGTCACTGAGCCACAGCCACACCAGGCCACCCCTGATCCCGCAGCATTCCCAAGCCAAGGAGCCCCTCAGTGTCCCCAGGAACATGTGCTGGAGCATCCAGGGACCCCCCACTCACACTTGGCGTCCTTCCGCCGCGCCGTCAGCAGGAAATCCTTGATCTCCTCAATCTTGCGAGGCTGCAAAGCCAAACAGAAATTCGTGGAATCTTGGAATGTTTCAGGTTGGAAGGGACCCTAAAGTTCATCCAGTTCCACCCCGCGCCATGGGCAGGGACACCTTCCAGGCCTGCAGCACTTCCAGGGATGTGCTCTGCGTCCCAAGCTCATTCCCCAGCTCGTGCTCTGCCCACAGAATCTCCTCTGCCCACCGACCCCCCCCATTCCTCACCACGTTCACAACTTAGCAAACCAGGGACGCCCAAAGCCGCCCCTCCCTGATGTCCAGAGACCCCCAAAGCCACCCCTCCCTGATCTCCAGGGACCCCCAAAGCCACCCCTCCCTGATCTCCAGGGACCCCCAAAGCCGCCCCTCCCTGATCTCCAGGGACCCCCCACCCTCCCCTCCCTCAGCCCCGGGGACCCCTCGCAGCCTCCTGGCCCCTCACCATGGTTCCAGCCCGGCTTCAGCAGCTCCAACCTGCGGAATAAACGAGCCAAGATGGTGTCAGCGCAGCCCCCCGCCCATCGCGCCCCCCGCCCGCCATCGTGTGCCCCTGTGCCCCCTCCTCCCCCCGGCCCGCCCCGGGGCCGCCCGGTGCCGTGAGGCCGCGGATGGCGGCGGATCCCCTCAGACCCCCCCTCCCGGCTCCTCCAGGCCGCCACCGCTCACCCGCAACCGCTGCGCACCAACCGGAAATGAGCGCGGCACTTCCGCTTCCGACGGTTTATTTCCTACGGCGCGGGCGGCGGACAAAAAGCTCCCGATCGCGGTGGTGGCGGCGGGACCTGCGATGAGTTGATGGGGGCTCAGCCCTAAGGCGGGCGGGCGAGGCTGCGGGGCGAATTTTGGGCACCTCCAGCCTCTCAGTGCCAGCCGGGCACGGGGGGCACGGGGAGCAGGGCGGGCTGCTTGCAGTTTGCCGAACCTCAGAATCTCTCGGGGGGATGATCCGTCTAAAATCCCGTCTCAGCCTTGCTCCAGGGAACCCCGGGAGATGCCGGGGCTCGATATCCCGGGCAGGGCTGTAATGAACATGTTCTGCCACAAGAGGGAGCTTCAATCCCGCTGAAAACCCCAAAGCCATGCCAACCACCCCAAAACGTCGGGAGGGATCTTTGGGGATGGATGGCGAGGATGTGACATCCTGTCCCCATCCCCATCCTGCCAAGCCCTGAGTGGGGCTGGGCCGGTTTTTGGGGATGCTGGGATGCTCCTAAGAGGCACTGGATGAGATCACAATCGCCCCCAGTAGCTCCCAGTATAACCTAAGCCCAGTTACTGGGGTGAACCCTGCAGCTGCCAGCCCAGGGCTCCCACCCAGGAGATGATTTTGGGGTGGGACCCTTCTCCCTCTCCATCAAACGAGCTTTTTAATTGTTTGATTTACTTACCTCCTCTCTGATGGGCTGATCTACTCCGCTGCCTTTTAATTGCTCCCAAACTCGAGCGGTTTTTCATGTTTTAAGAAATGCTGAATGGTGTAATTAAACCCCTGGCAGAGTAAATCAGCGGCGCGGGAGGACGACAGCCCCGAATTAAAGCTTTTGGCATAACAATAAAACTAAATCGGCATGAAAAGTGCCCGTTTTGGCACCAGCGCTGAATGCTGATGCCGAGGGGGGCTGGGGCACCGTCCAGGCACCCCAAAATCCCCGGGGATTTTTGTGGCATCGTGGAATGATTTGGGTTGGGAGGGTTAAGGCTCACCCTGTTCCACTCCCTGCCACATCCCTGGAAGGTCCAAGGCCGGGTTGGGCGTTTTGGAGCAGCCTGGGGTGGTGGAAGGTGTCCCTGCCCATGGCAGGGGTGGAATGGGGTGAGTTTAGGGTCTCTTCCCACCCAAATGCCTTCATTTGTGTCATTAATTAAGATATGAAATAACCCTGGTCGCTGTAAGGACCCTAAGGGTCACCGCTGGTTCCTGATGTCCATCAGGACTTTGAGCAGTTGACCACGACCCTCTGGAATTCCAACCAATTCCTTCTCCATCCACAATTCACCTATTTGTCTCCCAAAAGGCAGTTTGGGAGCAGGGGAAGGGGCTGGGTGTGGGTGCAGGGGGTGCCTGTCCCCCCTCCCCTGCACCCCCGGAGCAGCGGCATTCCCACCCTTCCCAGGGAAAGGAATCACTTTTCCTTTATTAACAATATTTAAAGCCGAGTGGGTGCCTAAATCAACAAAAATAATTCATGAGAGTCATTAGCTCCTCAAAGTCAGGCTCTTTTTACGACCGACTGTAAATTAAAAAAAGAAATTTTAAAAAAAATTAAAAAATCCCAACCCCAAACCCCACCACGTTCGGAATCCGCAGTTTTTCCAAGACATCAAATGCGTTTCCTGCCGCCTCCCCCCGGCCCGGCTCCGCCGCCGGAGGAAATTCAATTAATGGCCTTAATTCACCCTCCGACTGCCAGTCTTAGATTAAAAAATCCTTCGGATTCTGCTCGGGAAGCGCCGTGAAAGGAT